GACCGCGCAGAAGAAAAGCACGGCTCAGAGCAGATGCGTTTGGTTGGCATTGCAGTCCTCTCTCCCCTTGTGCTTGCAATCGCTCTAGCATCAGCCACAGTTTGTCGTTGCGCGGCGGTGCGGATATGCCAGTGATGTCTGTTGAGCGACGCCTCGTCTCATGCAAGCCCTTCCCCTCTGTCGAAGGAACATGCAGGAATCTATACTTTCGGACCTCCGAACGCGTTTGTCCGTGCAGTGTTTGTTCTTCTGCTCCTCCTCGCCTGCTCCCAACACCGTCTTCCTGCTCCCCCACCCCCCCAGGGGCACATTTTCTGAGGTAGAGCGGGCGGCTTTGCGCACGGCTGGCCCCGATACAGTCGGACAGGTAAAGGATCGAGGTCGGTTCGGGAAGGAAACTCTACTGTTCTTCGTGCTTGTTGGATGTTCTTGTGCGTCCTGGAGAGGGGTACCCTTGGATGCTCTATGCGGTTTGACCGGCGGAGGGTCTCATGTTCTTGAGGGACGTTCTTCCGTCCTAGGTCCGACTGTATTGCCATCGTATCCGCTTCCTCCGATCTCTCCGACATTTTGGCTTGAACAGGCAATCAGTTGCTATCTGTCGATGCAGTTGGCACAAGGGCTAAGAACAATCCTGACATTGGAGGGGTGCCCTTCTGTTCTTCGTTTGTGGGCTCTTCCTCCTCCTCCCTCCTCCTCCTCCTCCTCCTTCTCTTTCGTTTTGGATATCTCCATGGTGTCTTGGCCGTGGACGGAAGGGTTCGTGTTCTCGAGCCACGCTCTCGAAACAATGTGTCGACTGTACTGTCTGCCAACGCGGCTTCGGAGCGCTCGCAGATCAGTCTGAACTTTGAGGTTAGACGGGCGACGCTCGAAGAAGACAGAACCGAAGAAATATGAACTTTCGGAGGTCCACAGGGATCTCTTGTGTCGGCGCTGGTCCCCCACCTGCGGCTCCTTCAGCGCCGCCCCTGGCGCACTCCGCGCGCAATTTGAGGGGGTTTAGCCCTGGTCCAAGGCGCCTTTGCGGTCCGCATTTTTGTCTTTTTTTGTGCGGTAGGTTCATGCGGTGATGACGCGCCAGCGATGCCTGCGAAGGCGTTCAAGGTTGAATTTCGCAGGATAGAACGACGCTGAAACACCGAGGGACACGGTAGCGTAACATTACCCGACGGAATTCAACCTTGAGCGGTCGGGGCCGCGGTCGATTCAAGGTTAAACGATCGGCGCTGTGTCAAAAACCTTTGCGCGCGCCGACGCCGCACGAACCTACCGTAGGCGCGACATTTGCGGTTTTCTAGCAGCGTTGTGCAGTAGCGCAGTGACGGTCGGGACGATTCGATGCTCACGCATGCCTCTTGCAACATGCAAATGGGTATCGTTTGGTGTCCGCCGAAGCTGGATGTTCTTTGCGCGGGTCTTGCGGCTGTTAGGCTGCCGTCTGTCAGCAAACGTGGGTAACTTGGTGATCATTTGGAACAGTTGTGCCAACATGTTGGCCCGTCTAATGGCTGTCTGGAGGCGATGCGGTGCGAGATGAGTGCCCCGACCTCCTCCCCCTCCAAACCAACCGGACCGGGCTTCCAGGGGAGGGGTCTGGGATGGGCAGCTTTCTCACACATCAAAGAACTCCAAGAGTTCGGCGAACTACTCTAGGGTCCATCTCGATGTCGACTTCTTCCGTCCCGATACGACTTGATTCCGATACCCCGACGATCCAATGCGGCCCGATGCTAGCGCGGCGCACTCCGACTCCGTGCTGGTGCGGCCCGATTCGATGGAGACTGTTTGTTTAAGGGTCCAGAGAGAGACCGGGGTATCGGGCGCGCCCGCCCCCCCCCCGCCCCCCCCCTTCCCCTTCTGGATAGCCTGACCTTGTTGGTTGCGGAGGTCCGAAGGGGGTACGCAGTGTTGGTGCGCGCTGGCATGCGTGGGGTTGCCCTAAGCCCCACCAGTCCATCCAGAAACGATGCTCATGCGAGTTGATGGGGGGAGAGAGGAGCAGACACGCATAGTCAAACAGCGAGGGACGCCTGGGAGGCTCCCTGGCCATCTCGAGCCGTCTTGGAGCGGTCTTAGGGGCCGCTTGGAGCATCTTGGGGGACATCTTGAGCCAGCTCGGGCTAGCTGAGCCATCTTGGAGGTAATCTTGGGCTCGGGTGCCTCTTTGAGCCCTCTTGGGAGCCTCTTTGGATCCCTGGAGGGCCTCTTGGGGCCATCTTGAAGGCGGTCGGTCAAAAGAGGCGGGTACTCGATTTGCGTCCCCCCCTCGGGGGCCACGATCGTCGTGAGGGGTGGCAGAACATGGCCCTCCCAATGGCCGAAAAAGGATCCTCCGACACCTCGCGATCCCTCCCAAAAAACTTCGGGAGGGAAGGGGGAGGGTTCCCCTCCCCGAAGGGGGAGGGTTCCCCTCCCCTCCCCTCGTTAGACCACCTGTCGCCCAACGGGCTGGTGGGCTTCTAGACTCTAGACTCCAGACGCTTCGCGTAACCCCACCAGCTCTTTCTAAATTATCTGCAGGTGCACTCTGCGCGGTGTCGCGCCAATTATCTGTCGCTGTGCCCCAGCCTCGGTCATACCGCCCTCTGGACTTCTCCTTGCGGGCCGCGAATCAAAAAGTAACCCCACCAGCCCATCCGGAAACGATGCCGTGGCGAGTTGTGCTGACCAGGGATGTGGAGGAGCATGCAGTGGAATCAAGAGCAGGGGAAGCCGTCATGCTCCAAGAGGGGGAGGATGGAGGAGAAGTTGGAGACGGAGGAAGATGAGGAGGAGGACGAGGAGGAGCAGGAGGGGGAGGAGGAGAAGGAGAGAGAGGAGGAGGAGGAGGAAGAGGAGGCCTCCTGGGCGCCTCTTGCGGCCCTCCTGAGGCTCTCTTGGGAGCCTTGGCGGCCATCTTGGGGCCATCTTGGAGGGGATCGATCAAAGAAGGAGAGGTACCAGAGTGGCGTCGCCTCCCCACGAGGCCAACATGGGTCCAAAACCTCAGTGACGTCAGTTATTTGTGGGTTCTCGCCGAGGCCGTCTTGGACGCTCATGGGTCGCGGCCCCCCCATCAGGGTCCAGGGGATGGTGCAGGGGGAGTGGCAAGCCGTTTCCCGACGGGGAAGAGGGACGATGGAAGCGGAAACGCTCTAAACCACTTGCACCCAGAGGGCTGGTGGGATGAGGCTATCCGCTGGCACCTCCCTCCTTCGCCCTCCTGACGACTTGTGGTCATCTCCGAGCGAGATAAAATAGGAACACGTGGCTTCTCGGTTCGATGCTGACCTCATAAGACCCATCTCGATCCGATCGGTCCATCCGACTCGATATTGGCTCCGGCCGGATCGATCCGATTCGATGTTCCAGTATTCCGACGATCCGATACGGTCCGATGTTCGCATGGCGTTATTGTGCATCCTGGCGCGGCCGATTCGGGGCGATTCCGACCTCGTGCCGATGCGGTCCGATCCGACGCACGATTCGACTCGATCCGCTTTCCCGATTCGATGCTGGCCGATCTTGCCTCATCCCCCCATCTAGGGGGCCACATGCGAACCCTACCCCTACCCCCCACGGTTTCTGAGGGGGAGGATGGGGTTCACTTCGTTCGGGAGCCATCATCAGCAGGACAACGCGATCGACAACGGCGGGAGCAGCACGACCACCGTCGCCCCGGGAGCGTCCTCCACCACCGTGGGTGCCCCCGGGAGGGGGATCGAGGGTCGCGGAGCGAGGAGGAGCTGAGGATCGAGGAGGAAGGCTCGAAGATCGAGGAGGATCTGAGAAGACAAGACCGCGCAGCCACACCTCTTCGGGGGCCCCAGCGCCGATCCGAGAACTCCGCGCGGACCGCCGACAGCTTGACGTCGTTTCTCTCTTTCTGTCTTTGCTGCTGCAGAGGAGGTGGATCGGGGATCCAGGACCTGTGCACCCGGGAGAAGGATGAAGTCGGGCCTGTCCCTCTACGGGGGGAATGTTCAAAAATAGTACAAAAATCGCCTGGGGACTATTTTTGGAGTATTTTTGGGCATCTTTTCAGCATTTTTTTTTTTTTTTTTTTTTTTTTTTTTTTTTTTTTTTTTTTTTGTTTTTTTTTATTTTTTTTTTATATAATATAATTTTCGTCCAAAAGCCCCCTGTCGGGGGACAGGCCCGATCTAAGAGGAGCATCGAGGACCGAGGCCTCTCCCCCGAACAGCAGTGCGTGCACCCGGGCGTGCGGTGCCCGGCCTGCGCCCGGCGCCCTCCCGTCGCCGCCCTCGGCCTCCCCCCCCCCGGCTAGACGTAAGAGTGACCTTTCGCCGGAGTCACCTCTCGCGGGCGATGTTTCTCCCCAATCCCCGAGTTTCGCCCGAAAAGTCTGGCCGCTCAGAAGAATGGGAAAACCCTGGGATACACCCCAAGGGGGCTATTCGGACGCACCCCTATCGAGGATGGGCACCCCCCCATCGTATATCCCAGGGTTGGGCCCCAAATTTCTGGTCCATTCGGAAACCCCACGAAGCCTGGGATAGGGGTCGACGTATCCCTTGTTAGGCACAGGTGGGCCCTCGGATGGCCGAAGACGAAGCGGCAGCAGCGGCTTGCGCGCCCAGGTTTGGTCTCCCCGCGGCCCCCTCCAAAAGCCGCGCACCAGAGGTCACTCTTACCCAGGGTCACTCTTGCGTTCAGCCGACCCTCCCGCGTCGCCGCCTCGCGCGCTGCGCTGGCCTGCGGTCCAGGGCGCGTGCACATCTTTCGCAGGCGGATAGGCCTCCTGCCCTGACAGGTCCATTGAGGAATGGGCCTTTTTCGGTTCGCGAGAGGGCGTCGCGGCCGTCATTCTTGCGGGTCCAGGTCCGTCGGTTTCGGTCCCAGGCCGTTTTCACGAAGGGGAGGTTTACTGAAGGGAGGCTTGTCCACCGCGGAATCTTCCGTCGGGAACAGAAGGACCCCTGACCCTGATGACGCACGATGAAGACGTGGCCTCACTCAGGTCCCCGTCTCCGCATCAGAGATCAGCCGTTTGGGCG